AGTACTGTTATTTATTTTTAGTACTTTGTTGTAATTTTTTTAGTTAACTCTTTCTCAGCAAACTTTTTCATATATATTATATGTTATTTAGTGTTTCAAGTCTAGTAGTTTTTCATATTAGCACCTGCAATATTTCAGAGTTAAGTTTCAAAATCAAAACCTTCAAAAAGTAATTCTTTTCTTTATGTATTAACTATTTTATTTCACCCTGTATTTCAGTTTTTTATGCGTATTTTTTTAAAATTTTAAGTTTGAGGTGAAGAAAAACTCATTTTTAAAAGAAAGAAACTTAATTTTATTTGTCCTCAATGAGCTATATTTTAAAATTTTTATTTTAGCATGACCTGGGGTAATCGAGCCTAAATTTGGATAACTATATTTTTTTTATAAATATATAGTAAGCTTAAGTAAAAACTTTCAATAATAAAGGTTACTTCTAGAGATTAAGGTATTTGGTATGAGAGAATAAGACTATGTTTTTATCTTTTTAAGTAAAGGAATTTGTATTTTTGAAGTATTAAGAACATTAGATTTTTATGTAAGAATAAAAGAATAAAACTTTATGAAAAATTTTCAAAGCTAATATGAATTTATAAAGTGAAGGAATGTGAAAAGTTTTTAACTTTAAGAATAGGATAGTGAAGTTCAAAATCATTAAAGGCTATCCAGATATAGTAATCCTCACATGAAAAAGAAAAGCTAAAAGGAAAATAAAAGCAAAAGAAAAAAAAAAGAGAAAAGAAAAATACGTGAGGAGAAGCTTGAGGAGATGTCTAATCAAAAATTGGCTTTACTTGAAACAACTTAAGGAAGAAGTCTTGACTACATTCTCTAAACTTGTATTTAAGTCTTAGCATATTTACTAGTAAGATTTTCATGATGTTCATTTTCATATGGATATTTTAAATGGCTTTAATATGACAATTTACAATTTTCCTTGAAAAGAATAAAGAATCAAAAATCATAGACTTTACTGCTTGATATTCTTATTCCTTTAGTGTTAACTTGAGTTATTTTAAATTTTTCTTAATTTATGCTATGATATTTTGTACACCAAAATATGGAAGTGTAGAAGCTAAATTCTTTACTATAAGTCATATTTTTCTGTAGTAAAGGAGTTACTTGATGAAAAGTAACATTTAAGTTTGGGGGATTTTGATGCACCAAAAATATATGTATTTTATACCTACATTTTATACTCATTTTTTTGTGATATTAAACTTTAAAGGGAGGTATTTTTCATGTTTTATTATAGGTTGATGATTTTTAGCACTTGAAGCAAAAAGGAAGCAAAAAGGATGGAATCTGGAGTCAAAATGGTGTTTTGGAAGAAAACCTCAGTGTCGACGGCGTCAGCATGAAGGAGGAGTCCAAAATAATGGGGGCACAGATGGCACCATTTGACAGAGAGCATAAGAATTTATTCGAACCACGAGCGCTGATGGCACCAATTTTGTTGTTGTGCAAATATCTAGAAGATTCGATGAATTTGGACGCTTTTTGAAGTGTTATTGGATACACCTCTTGGAAAACCAACATTATGCTTTATTTAGAGCAAAAATTGATCAGAAAAAGGGGGGCTAGTGTGTCATTGAGTTTTCATGAGTTCTCCATTGTGTGTTTATTTAGTGTGGTGAGTCTAAGTGTGATTTCTCCTAAGGGTTTTAGAGAGGGAGATAAGTGAGAGATTTCTTCTTCCTTACATCTTTGAAGAGGGAATCAAGAAACAAGGGATTTGCTTTAAGGAAGAGTTGAATATAAGTAGTGTTTGTTCGTTATTGTTGTATAAACTTTCTTTTATTTATGAAATTTGTATTTGGTCATATCTTCCTCATGAGATTTGAGTAGTTTTCTTTATCTTTCTCCCTACCCTAAGATATGGTGAAATGAAGAGATAATTTGGATGTGCCAATTTTAAAATATAAAATAAATTGTGATGATTTTTCACTCCGTTCTCAACTTACTTTTTGATTTGGCCAATTGAAATGTTAACATCTGTTGTGAAACATACTATCCGGAAAATGGAGTAGGAGTTTTACAATAAAGTGAGAATCACATTCAATTCCATGAAGGAGTGATTCGTTCATGGAATTGGGTGCAAATAAATAGATAAATATATATTAATAGGCAAAGAATTGGAGATTCTAGACAGACTAAAATCCTTAATTTGGCTTTAGTGTTTAGGAACTAAAGCGAGAGTTAGCCTTCAAGGGAAGGGAAGTGGGAGCTCTGGAGTGAGAGCCAGTATCCTCCCAGCCTAACCATGGATTTACAGAGTAAACCTAAGATTAGCCAACAATTCTCTATAACACTTGACTAAGGGTAGAGAATTAAAATTGCTCATATTTGGTACAATACAAATTCAAACCATTTATCACTCTCATTTAACCAAAAACTCATTGTAATGGGAATGATGCTTTCTCATATTAGATAAACTCATCAAAAAAACATAGTTTGATAGTTATTGTTTAGCTTTGCTTTATTGTTTTGCAAATAGTTGATAATTTAGTTCTAATAGCACCTTAAATATTCAAAATTAGTTTAGTAGATTTTCTTTATTTTTGTGAATTTCCTAATTTAAATTTCCATTCAAATTTAAACCTTTCTCGTGTGATTGATATTTGGGGCTTAAACCGAAAGTCCTGTATTACTTGATAATGATACGTATACTTGCGTAGAATCCCAACATAAATTGCTTTAATCTCTTATTCATAAAATAACAAACCATGTTTTTTGGCATTGCTGCAAAGCTGAGTCAACTTTATTAATTTTACGCAACTATAATTTGGCAAAATTTGGCTAAACCCATATTAGCTGGGGCTCTTGGGTTCAAAGAACTCCAACACTTGCAACAAGTCAACATGCGTAAACTGTAGATCAATTTCAGGTAACAACATTCTTTGTGGGATAAGTTCATGCATGGTAAATATTGTATGGACGCTCATCCAAACATGGTGTCTAGAAAGTTGGGAGACTCCAAGCTTTGGGTTAATTAGCTGAACATTTATTTCTTTGGGATCTTGGTAATGTTAATGTACATTTATGGCTGGATAATTGATACCCTACAAACATGTTGATTCATAAAACCACTGCTCTAAACTCCAACCTCAAAGTGGTTGATTGCTGGATTGGGGACCAATGGTTTGAACCTTTCTTGCAGACTTTATTTGAGGATTCTTCTATTGAGCAGGTTTCTAGGGTGGATTTTGATAAATCCCTCCCTGAAAACATTATTTGGTATGCAAGCAGCACTCAAAGCTTAACTAAGTCCATTTACTCCTAGATTAATAGCGGGGACACTGTCCTTTGGAGGGCTGCTTTGTGGAATAAATTCCACTCCCCCTTTATTTCTTTTCTCAACTAGAGAATATTCCATAAAATGCTTCTTGCAGATCATATCCTCAAACTGAAAGGTCTGTAGTGGCCTTCTAGGTGTGGGTTATGCTTGACAGTTGATAAGTCCATTGATCATATCTTCTTTGAATGTAAATTCTCTTAACATGTTTGGAGGGAATGTTTAAAGCATCTACACTGGATACTCTCAATTTAGATTGGTGGCACCTTTCCTCCCGCTGGGTCAGTTGGCATGATGATGGGCTTGGATCTTTTCCTCTGATTATTGCTTGGTTTCTATATATGGCTAGAAATCAGGTCCAGTTTTATGAACAACCTATAACGATGGTCAAGGAGGCCAGAAATTGCATATCCTTCCTCATTAAGCTAATCAAACATAAGGTATTTCCCAACATTTGCTCCTTCCCAAGTTTGGCTAGTCTCCCCTCAGATTTTGTTATCAAAGTCTGCTGGAAGTCTCCCCAATTTCCTTTCATTGAAGTGAATATTGATGGTAGTTCTTCTGAGTTGGGAGCTGGTATTGGAGGGGTACTCAGGAACCATCAGGGGCACTGTCTACTGTTCTTTTTTGCACTTGTTTATGCTTTGGATGCTCTGGAATCTAAACTCATTGCATTTTTTTTTGGGCCATGAAGTTTGCCATTATGAATCAATGGAGATACCTATTGGTGGAGGCGGACTTAGATGTCTTAATGCAACTTTTGCAAGATGTGGATCTCTCCCCTTGGCATATCTCACAATGGGTTAGAAAGATCAATACCATGAGGCCTCTCTTAAATGTGCACTTTTTTTCATCTACAAGGAAGGAAACAAACCTACCGATTGGTTTGCTAGGATTGGGCAAAGCTCCTTAGACCCCTCTATTTCTTCATCCCTACCTTCTCCTCTTCTTTTCTTACTTAGGGGGGAGGGGCATTCTCAAGGCTCCCCACCTTAGAGTTGTAACTTGATTTTTTGATGGAATAGATTTTCCTATCTTATATATATATATATATATATATATA